CAAAAAAAAAAAAAAAAAAAGTCATTGCTTTCTTTCTGCATTCAAAGTAAGTTCTTGTCAGTAAGGAAAGCTAGGCCTCTTGGGGCTGTCAGTGCCTTCTCTTCTCTTCCCTTTACTAAGTTGCGGGTGTGACATGCTTATCTTTTACTAGCTTTGAGTCTAGTTTAACTCCCATGCATTGCAGGTCTAACAGAATTCTGTGCTCATGGGGCATGATAAATGATTAAATGCAAATGATTGGCAGGAAACAGTGGACATCCACATTGTGCATACCTCTTCTATTCATGTTCATATTCCATTGTACTTTCAGACTTCACTTACAAAACACATGTTCGAAGGCAAAATTATTAAGTATTTCAAAATTGTGACAGCTGAGCATTAAACCAAGTGCAGGGTCCTTCTGAGTCCAGGGCTCTGTGCAATAGCATAGGTTGCACACCTTTTAAGTCAGCTCTTATTTGAGTTCTAGATAATCCAGTCTTGCCAACGCTTGATATTATCAACCTCTTAATTTTAATCATTTGGTGGGTGCTTAGAGATATCTCATTTTGGCATTTATTTACATTTCTCTGATCAACTTTTCATATATTTATTAGCCACTTGGCTATGTGTGTGTGTGCGTGTGTGTGTGTGTGTGTTAGGTTCCTGTTCCAATCTTTTGTCTATTTTTCTATTGACTCTGTTTTTGGTCTGGATTTGTAACAATTGTTTTCATATTCTGAAAAGAAGCCTTATGTAGGTTATATGTATAGCAGATATCTTCCACTACTCTATGGCTTCTTTTTCACTCTCTTATGGTATATTTTGATTACTAGAAATTCCTAATTTTAATATAATTTAATTTGTCAATCTTTTCCTTTGAAGTTAAGTGCTATTTTGTATCTGGTTTCAGAAACCTTTGCCTTCCTCCAAATCATATTCTCCTGTATCATTTTCTTTAAGTTTTATTGTTTTGCCTTTCACATTTAGATCCACAATCTATCTGGAATTTATTTTTTTTGTAATTGGTAAGAGGTAGAGGATCAAACTTCGCTGATGCTGTTTTTAGTCAATACAAAGGTGAGTTCCCAATGTAGCTCCAGTTTGTCTTCTATTAAAAATTTCCATTATTATGGCAGGGCAGAGAAAGAGGGGATGGCTTCAGGTTAGGATGGGAGAGAAAACGGATTACATTCCCAGTGTCATCTGAAGTGAAACTTATCTCAGATTTTTCTCAACAAGCGTTTTAAGTCCTCTCACCTGGAGAGTGACTAAAGTGATAGAGGCCATATCCCACTCACCTATCCATTCAACAAACTAAAATGAGGGGCTGGACACAGTGGCTCATACCTATAATCTCAGCACTTTGGGAGGCCGAGGTGGGGGGGATCACCTGAGCCCAAGTTCGAGACCAGTATGGGCAACATGGCGAAATTCCGTCACTACAAAAAACACAAAAAATTACTCGGGTGCGGTCACCTGACCTCAGGAGGTCCAGGCTGCTGTGAGCCTAGATAGCGCCACTGCACTCCAGCCTGGGTGACAGACTGAGACTCTATCTCAAAACAAACCAACAAAAACAAATTAAAATGATGTGCTTGTAAAATGTAAAATCATAAAAGATAAAGTTTTATTTTTGTTTTGTTTTTCTTGTCATTATGGAAGTGAGGTTAGTTATTTTGGCAAAGCCTTCTGAGGACGTCAAGTTTAAGGATTTAGTTTCAGAATAGACTGTTCCACAACTGTTCTGAATTCCACTTGCTAAGTGTTCGGGTGTTGTGGTTAAGGTGAGGACTGGGCAATTTGGGTAGCTCAAAGTAAACTCACCAAAACAATTCCAAGGGACCCTAGGATGACACTACTCTGGGTATGTCTACACCTCTTTATATTGGAATGACAACAATATCATGAATACTCACTCTAATTCATTGTATTTGCCACCATCATCTCTCTCTTAAGAGTAATAAAACTTTATCCCCTTTTCTCTGCCTTTGGTCACGGCCCTCTTCAATGTATTCTACTTCTGGCATAGGATGATCTGGCCTTTGCTTATCTCTGTCTCTCCAGCCTCATTCTTTGCCACCTGTCCCCTACACCAGCTGAGCTTCACCATCTCCCTCTTTGCAGAGGTTGGTCGCTTGAGGACCAGCCTACATTACTGCTCTTTCTCTGGTTGGCCCCTACTTGCCTGTCAGGATTAAATATTACTTCATTCAGAAAGCCTAGTTTATAGAAAGTGTCCAATAAATAGATATTATTATTATTTTAAAATAATGGTAAAAACGCATCCTCGGTGTGATTATTGAAAGAGTGGATGAATGAGATGGGTATTTGTTGAGTGGATGGGTGACTGGGACATGGGTTCTATCACTAGCAACTCTCCAGGTGAGAGGACTTAAAAAGTTCGTTGAGAACAATCTGAGAAAAGTTTCACTTCAGATGACGCCGGGAATGTAAACCATTTTCTCTTCCATCCTAACTCGGAGCCATCCCCGCTTTCTCCGCCCAGCTGGAATTTTTGAGGCGAGAAAATCGACTCGCTCGGGATTCGCCCGCCGACGCCGCTCGACTTGTTGGGGCTGGGCTCTTCTTCGCGGAAGAGGTTAGGAGGCGGTTGCGGTTGCTCGGCCAGGGCGGGTAGGGGTGCTGTTGCCGTCATGGCTGACCCCGACTCCCGGTACCCTTGCTCCTCGATCGAGGACGACTTCAACTATGGCAGCAGCGTGGCCTCCGCCAGCGTGCACATCCGAATGGGTACGTTGTCCCCTCTCCAGTGCCTCCCAGCCGCTTGTCCGCAATGCTCGGTCTTTAGAAGCCGACTTCCGGCTTCAGAGGGACAGCGGCCATCTCCCGGGACTCAGGAGAAAGAGGGCTGAGCTCCCTGCCCTCTTTCTCCGGGGACTGGAGGACTGGCGCCCTCCTCCGGGAGTCGGAAGAGGCGCTCCCTCCCCTCCTAGCGGGTGTAGGAGGGCCCAGGCCCAGAAGACTTGCAGCTCCCCAATGTGCGCCTCGGATCCCCAGCGGGCGCCGCGGTGTAGGAAGGGACGGATGGAAACCGCCGCAGCCTTAATTTGGCATCTTGAAGTGAAAAGAAACGTGATGGAAATGAGTCAGTTGATCACTGTGACGTACACACGAGTGGAATCAGCGGCCTAATGCTTTTGTTCTGTCGGGTGCCGCGTTACATGTTTATATTTACCGTCCTATGCTAGGCTGTAAGCTCCCTGACGGCACTATTTCCTGTCCGCACTATTTCCTGGCCGCAGGGCCCAGAATGCAACAGGTCTTTCTGAGTTATGTTGAGGAAGTTGCTGAACACAGAAGCTTCCTAAGTCAGTATGAATGTTTTAAGTTATTACGTAGTAGCCAATGGGCAGAAATTTTTGAATTTAAAATCCTTAGCTTCATCTACGTGGAAGCCATTGTCTGCTCTAGTTTGGCCATTTGATCACCGAAACTGCCCCAGACTTTCAGCCTGTCTAGGCAGCTGGAACTTGTTCTGGAAAAGGAAAGATGAAGATAGTTCTGATGTGCTAAGAATCTTGGTGCCTAGAACTTGTTCTGGAAAAGGAAGGATGAAGATAGTTCTGATGCACCAAGAATCTTGGTGCCTAGCATTTATATTTTTGGAATTGAATTTTGAAATTATTTTGGCAAGTGAATTCAGCTTTTTTAAAAAAAATTGTGGTAAAATACAGGTAACATAAAATTTACCATCTTAACTAGTTTTAAGTGTACAGTTCAGTAGTGTTAAGTTATTCACATGGTTGTGCACTGTTAAAAGAAAAGCTTTAGACACATTAAATCTAACGGAGTTTAAGCACAGAATGATTTGTGAATTGGGCAGGTCCCGGAATCAGAATAGGTTCAGAGTGACCAGTGCTGCCCCTTGGTGGGAGAAAATTTATGGAGAGAGAAAGTAAAGTGATGTACAGAAAATGGAAGTGAGGTACAGAAACAGTTGATTGGTTACAGCCTGGCTTTTGCCCTATTTGAACATGGTTTGAACACTTGGCCGTCTTTGGTTGGCTGAAACTCAGTGATTGGTTCAAGCGTAGGTTACAGCTTGTTTACACATTCAGTTAGGTTATAGTTCACTATATACCGAGAACCCCTAGGCCGAACTTAAAGGGATAACTTTAGACTAAACTTATACACCATCGAATATCCAGAACTTTTTAATCTTGCAAAACTGAAACTCTGTACCTATTAACTTTCCATTGCTTCCTTCCCCTAGTCCCTGGAACCACCATTTCACTTTCTCCCTTTGTAAATTTGGCTTCTCTGATACGATCAGTATTTGTTTTTTTTGTGATTGGCTTATTTCAATTATCATAATGTCTTCAAATACATCCATGTTGTGGCATATGTTAGAATTTCCTTTTTTTTTTTTTTTGAGACAGGGTCTCACTTTGCCACCCAGGCTGGAGTGCAGTGGCAAGATCACTGCTCACTGCAGCCTCTACCTTCTGGGCTCAGGTGATCCTCCACCTCAATCTCCCAAGTAGTTGGCATTACAAACGCAGGTCACCATGCCTGGCTAATTGTTTTGTATTTTTGGTAGAGGCGGGTTTCTCCATGTTGCCCAGGCCAATCTTGAACTCCTGGACTCAAGCGATCCTCCCACCTCAGCCTCACAAAGTGCTGGGATTACAGGCATGAGCCACTGCACCTGGCTGCACAATTTTCTTTTTAAGACAATAATATTACTTTGTATGTATATACCAAAGTTTGTTTATTCATCCATTGATGGATATTTGTGTTGCTTCTACCTCTTGACTGTTTTGAATAGTGTTGTCGTGAATATAGGTGTGCACATACCTCTTCAAGACTCTGCTTTAATTCTTTTGAATATATACCCAGAAGTGGAATCGCTGGATTGTGTGGTAGTTCTATTTTTAATTATTTAAGGAACTGCCATACTGTTTTTGATGGGGGCTACATCATTTTACATTCTCAGCAACACTGCACAAGGGTTCACCTTTTTCTACATCTTTGCCAACACATTCTGTTCTTTTCTTTCTTTTTTAAAATGAAAGTAGCCATCAGATGAGTGTGAGGTGATATGTCCCTTTGGTTTTGATTTGCATTTCTCTAATGATTTAATGATGTTGCACATTTTAAAAATATGCTTGTGGGGCATTTATGCATTTTCCTTAGAGAAATGTTATTCAAGTCCTTTGCCCAATAAATTTTTTTAAAGCAATTTTAGGTTCATAGCAAAATTTAGCAGAAGGAACAGAGTTCTTATGTACCCTTTCTGCTTTTCCCCAAGCCTCCTGCACTAATAACATTCTGTACCAGAGTGGTACGTTTGAAATTTAAGACTTCTGTTTATCAAAGAGCACAACAGAGTGAAAAGGCCTATAAAATGGGTGAACATATTTGCAAATCATATATCCTATAAGGGGCCAATATCCAGAATACATAAGGAAATCCTACCATTCAATAACAAAAAACAACCTGATTTTAAAGTGAAGAAAGTCAAGAGAATAAGATAGACTACATACTGGGAGAAAATATTTGCAAAAGAAATATCTAATAAAGGACTGTTACCCAAAATACACAAAATAACTCTTAAAACTCAACAATAAGAAGACAAATAGCCTGATTAAAATACAGGCAAAAGACTTGAACACATACCCTACTAAAGAAGATTCACAAGGTTGGGTGCAGTGGCTCACACCTGTAATCCTAACACCTTGGGAGGCCAAGATGGGAGAATCACCTGAGCCTGGGAGGTTGAGGCTGCAGCAAGCTGTGATTGTGCCACTGCACTCCAGCCTAGGCAACAGAGTGAGACCGTGTCTCCAAAAAAAAAAAAAAAAAAAAAAAAAAAAGATCATATATACCAGGATTTATTCTTGGAGCTGTGTTGTATTCCATTGGTCTATATGTCTCTGTCTTTATGCTATTACCACACTGTTTTGATTACTGTGGCTTATGTAATAATAAGTTTTGAAATCAGGAATGTGAGATCTCCAACTTTGTTGTTCTTTTTAAATATTGTTTTGGCAATTTGGGGTCCCTTGACATTCCATATACATTTTAGAATGGACTTTCTATTTCTGTGAAAGATGCCATTGGGATTTTGATAAGGATTGCATTAAATCTACCCAAAGTAGGTTACTTCGGGGTAGGACAGGGATAGAATATGGCAGCCACTGCAGCAAATTAAATGACTAGAGGTGGTATCTGGTGTGTGAATAGAAGGCATTCATTAGAGAGGCCTTGGTGACTCAAGGTACTGCCATTAAGGAAACATTTGAACCATTAACATAACATTTAATAAATAAAAATATTTTTTGGACAACTCCTTTCTAATGTATGTAAAGACAGTGAGGTAAACAAAAGTTTTGGAAGTCACAGTTACTGTTCTTAAGGCATTAGTTAGGTTGGCCACTAGCCAAACTAATCTATGCTAGCAGCTTAATTAAATTCTAAAGTACCAAGTTTGGAGGGTGTTTGGGGAAGGAATCAAGAGTGTGTTGTTGAAGACAAAATAAAATAAAGAGATAAATTAAACACTTTGTTTGGGAATAACAAAATTGCCACTTGGGGTATACATACAGATCGGGGTGGTCTGAGGAACAAAGAGAAGGTTGGGGATTTTATTAGAAAGAACAATGTTACATATTGCTTTGCAAGAACCTTCATTGGCACTAGAGAAGCATTTGGGAACTGGCAAACAACTATTTTGATAGTCACGGCAGGTTGTTTCAGCAGCTGCTAGGTAAAACTGTGCTATTCACCCTGAATGAGTTTTCCCTCAGCTCCTCAGCTCTGATTTAGTTGGGTATGACATATAATCACTTTTACAGTGTGAACTGGAATAAGCTAGGAGAGCTATAAGAGGAAGTGAAATCCCAGTGGAGGACTGAGTTTGCATACAGTAGTCCCTCTTTATCTGTGGCAGATACATTCCATATTGTGTTAATACAATAGCTATTAATAAGATAGAACAAATATAACAATATACTATAATAAAAGTTATATGAAGTGGTGTCTCTCTCTCTCTCAAGATATCTTATTGTAGGTGATATTTCCAGACTGTAGTTGACCATGGGTAACTGAAACCTTGAAAAGCAAAACTGCAGATGAGAGAGATCTCCTGTTTGTGAAGGGAATTCACGGGGTGGAGATGGGGGAGACAGAATTTGTGATGAGGCATGGAAAGGTGAGAATGACATGCCATACGTTATAGTGAGAAGAATGGCCTTTTTTTTAGTGATGTTGGGGAATAGTACAGTGTAGTAGAAAGAGCCCTGGATTTAAGGGTCTGAAAATTAAACACAGTCCTGGTTGACAGCAATGTAGAGAGGCAGGTTACTTTGCCTTTCTGATTCTTAGATTCCTTATCTGTAAAAGAGGCATAATTGCTGCTCTTCCAACTATACCAAGTGGTTTTAAGGGTCAGGCAATTATTTCATTTTAAATACTCCTCCAGTGTTGGCCTCCCAAAGTGCTGTGATTACAGGCATGAGCTAATGCACCTGGCCTATAGACTGTTTTAAGGAAAGAATTAATTTTATTCTTGATTTGCTTCTGCATCCCTCACGTCACTATAACAGAGCTGATTGCAATACCAGATACTCAGCATTTGTTCACCATAAATATTTAAATTATGCAGGAGCATTTTATTTAGGAGTTCTTATCACTAGGTTGGTAACTTAAGCTGACTACACCGGTACTAAATAAGTGGTTCTCATTTGTCTTTGGTGCGTTACTACTTAAAAGGTTAAAAATGCTCTGCCAAAATAAATAAATAAATAAAGCGCCTGGGTGCAGTGGCTCACGCCTATAATTCTAGCACTTTGGGAGGCTAAGGCTAGCAGATTGCCTGAGCTCAGGAGTTCGAGACTGGCCTACGCAACACGGTGAAACCCTGTCTCTACTAAAATACAAAAAATTAGCCAAGTGTGGTGGCGTGTGCCTGTCATCCCAGCTACTCAGAAGGCTGAGACAGGAGAATCACTTGAACCCGGGAGGGGGAGGTTGCAGTGAGCCCAGATCGCGCCACTGCACTCCACCCTGGGCGACAGAGCGAGTCCCCGACTCAAAAAAACAAAAAACAAACAAAAACTAGCTGCTTGTAATGTGTATATTTTCTGAAAGATACTTTTTGAATAATATACATCTAAAATGTCAAGGTTCACTGGTGGAAAACAACAAATTATGAGGCTACAAAAAAATTTTGTGAGAAGACTCCTCTGGGAAGTGAGGAGTCCTCTGCCTGGCCGCCGGCCTCTCTGGGAAGTGCGGCGCCCATCTGCCTGGCTGCTGCCCTGTCTGGGAAGTGAAGAGTTCCTCTGCCTGGCCGCCCAACTGACTGGGATGTGAAGAGTGCCTCTGCCCGGTCGCCGCCCTGTCTGGGAAGTGAGCGCCTTTGCCCAGCCCCGGCATCATCTGGGAAGTGATGAGCGCCTCTGCCCGGCTGCCGCCCTGTCTGGGAAGTGAGGAGTTCCTCTGCCTGGCCAACCAGGTGGCTGGGATGTGTTCCTCTGCCTAGCTGCTGCTCCCTCTGCCCAGCCACCGCCCTGTCTGGGAAGTGAGGAGTTTCTCTGCCTGGCTGGCCACCTGACTGGGATGTGAGGAGCCACTCTGCCTAGTTGCTGCCCCCTCTGGGAAGTGATGAGCGCCTCTGCCGGGCCACTGCCCTGTCTGGGAAGTGAAGAGCGCCTCTGCCCGGCTGCCACCG